CCCTCTTTCTCCCCCCCTGCCCGGCCGCAGGTCCGCTTCTCTGGCACCACGTTTTGGTCCCGCGTCAGGCTGCCCAGCAAAAACCCGGGGTCCACCCGCTTGCAGATGCGCTTGACCTGCTTCTTCCGCCGGGGCCGGTATTTGTAGTTGGGGTAATCTTGCATGTGCTTCACCCGCAGCCGCTCAGCCTCCTCCACATAGGGACGCTTCTGTGAGAGGCTCAGAGCCTTCCAGGACTTGCCTGCAACGGAGAACAAAACTCCACTCAGCACCCGCAGCAACCGTATCGAGGAAGGAAAGGTGGCTGCCTCCCAAAGCCTGCAGGCACACAACACAAGGGCAAGGTAGGGGCTCTGAGCTGGCACACATGGAGGATGCAGCCTGCAAACCCTTCAGGAGGATGGGAGGGCAGCAGGAGGATGAAGAAGAGGGGGGGATCAAAGCCACCACAGATCCTCTAAATCTCCCCATCCCAAGTCCCCAGTCGGGGTGGGTTCAGGGTTAGCTGAGCCCCACTGCAGGATAAATCAGAGCAAATAAACTCCCCCAGCTCCATGGCCTGATCTTGCAGTGCCTCTGTGGGACAGAGATCACGGCTGCCGAGCAGGGATGGCCAAGGGGCCATGCCTGGCTGAGCAGGGGGTCAGGACGTATTGTCCCTGGATGTGTCCCAGCCTGTGCCCTGCCAGGGTGTATGATAGACCAGGGGATAGACCAGGATGCCACGAACTTGCTGCTCCCCGTTTGAGATACACAAAATGTCCCCAAGACACCGGGCAGAGAAGCAGCACTGGGGCTGGGGGGTATATCCCATGGTAAGGCTACCCCAGGCTGTTCCTCTGGGTAGGAGGAGAAATGAGGGTACAGATCAAAGCATTTGATGCCTGCCCACTGCCAAAGAGACAGCAGAAATAACACTAATAAGATGAGATGCTGCATGGTAATGCAGCAAGGACAAAACCCAAACCACCAAAGAAAACACCACAAAACTGTACAGGGAAACACAAACTTTGGGTAAGACGCTGGACAGCAAGGCTGTGTTGCAATTCAGGCAGATCTTTCTCAGGCTGTCTGGGCTGGTGTTTTCTGTTTGCCCTTTTGGTTTCACATTAAAAAAAAAAGTGGGATTGGGAGAGGGGGGGGAAATAGTGGATGGGGAGTGAGAAACAAATGTGTGTTTAAAATGGGTTGTGATCCCCAAAAGAAACAGCAGAAACACACACACAGAACGCCATTCAATATTGGGGTGGGCTAGTGAGTTTGGGGACAAAGTGGGACAGCAAAGGCAGGCCAGGAAAATCTGGGCATCGCTCCTTGCCGGGCATGCAGGGATCCCTGGCACTGGCAGCACAAGGAGTTTGCACCCCAGCAGGGTTTGCACCCGAGTGGCTGCATAATCCAGAGTGTGGGTTACTGCTGGGCTTTGTGGGTGCACGGGTGCTTGCTCCCTGGGGTGTTCTGCACCCCACAAGGTGGCCCTTGCATCTTGCCCCAGGATGCTGGACCTGGGCGGGCATTGCACCCCACAGCCTGGCCATGCTGGTTGCAGGGATGCCCACTCGCTGCGTGCCAGACCTGTCTGTATCCCATGGGGTGGCCGGGAGGATGCAGGCACCCCAGGATGCCAGACCCGGGCACGGCTTTTGCACCCCGCGGAGCACCAGGGAGGGCGCTCGGGTCCCCGGCTGGGCAGGGTTCGCACCCCAAGGGATGCCCGAGTGGGTGCTCGGACGTCCACTCCCGAGTCGCACCCCCGAAGCCCGCATCCCCCCGCTCCTCACCGAGCATCTTGCTGAGCTCCGCGTTGTGCAGGTCCGGGTTCTGCACGGCCAAACGCTTCCTCTCGTCCTTCGCCCACACCATGAAAGCGTTCATGGGTCGGCGGATGCGGCTCTCGGAGCCCTTCTCTCCCGGCGGACACCGTGGAG